CCACCACAGGATATCGAAACCCGGATTCTAGCGTTGTAAGTCCGCAGACATACCGCTATGCTACTTGGGGGGGAATTCTTCACAGAAGTAGAAAAACTTTTAAGTAGAGTATTGAGGATAGTTACGGTCTTAGAAACTAATCAATTCAAGAGCAATTTCCTCAAATTTCCCCAACCCTACAATGAAGACTGTGGTTATGAATGATAAATCTCCAACGCGAAGAAGTCATTGTGATAAACCGAATACATCTCCTGAAACCGATAAACATAAATATGAAGTTGAGAAAGAATCAAAAACCAATGTTCATAATATTTTGTCGAAATCTTAAAACCAAGGTTGATTTCTTGAGGAAAATAGTCAAAGACAATGGAATCGCGTTAATCCAGTTAGACCACATAATCGTGAAACTCGTCACTACAGCAGCTTCAAGGGGATTTTGTGCCTTTGGTTTGATTACACTTGCTCTTTGAAACGAACGTCCACATAGAGTGGAAAAATTTTGAAGATCTGTTATCGACCTCCACCCCATCCCTCGTACCCTTCAAATTAGTTTGGTGTCGAGTAATAGTGCGTAATTATCGCCATCCGACCAATATGAAAGAAGTAGTTTGAAGGATAGCACAGGACCTTATGGAACCTAAAACAGTGTTATGACAAAATATAATTAACCTTCTGTATAAAATTTGGAATAAGAAAGAGTAAAGTGTAGAAATGTGTGAATTTGTAATGCAGAATGCCTAAGTGTAAAAAAGAATCTCCCTTTATTAATTCTTGGCCCGGCATGGCCAGGTGATTAGGGCGCTTGACTCGCAATCTGAAGGTTGCGGGTTCGAATCCCCGTCCCTCCAACATGCTCGAAATTACAAGGTGACGGTCAATCCCACTATTGTAAAAAGTAACCCAAAAGTTGGCGGTGATGACTCGAAGTTCAAAATAAACCAAATATTAATGCTTGGCTTCAGTTATAGTATCCCCACACTGTAAAATATTAGGTTTTAAGTCACTTAACCAAAAGTAGGTAACTATAAAACAAGGCCTTAACATCATATAATATTTGATGAGTTCAAATGAAACACGTAATGCTAATCTCAACTAGTTTACAAATAATTAGCAGTGAAAATGTGATAAAACAAAATTCTTCACATTGATTTTAATAAACAGTATTTTATAATATCTAGAATGATTATCTGGTATTATTAGCGGGAGTGCAAAAACATTTCGGAACATATGTTAATGTAAGCGTATTATGCAATTGACATTCATTGTATCACAATAATTATTATTATACTTATCTACATAAAGACGACTTTGTGTTTCAAGTCCTTAATAAATTTAAATGCATTTATCGTGTTTTCGTCTATTTCATAAACAAAATTTTTTTACTGGAACAAAATATAACCAAACAAAACATGTAAGTCAAACTTGCTAGCTAATTTTGTCTAATGTTTTTCATAACGATCGGAGATTTGTATTCATAGATAAGTTAGGCTAGTAGACGCTTTGAGTTATTCACACGAAACTTATGAACGGATTTATCGTACACTTTTCTGAGACATAGAGTATAATCATTTTATTTAGTATGTAATGCAATAAATAAGAAAAATTAAAAATAAACTATTGCACTATTCATAAACACATAAACTTCCTTCTTAGATTCACTTGTTAAAAATAATGATGAAAAAATTGAATATGAAGTTTCCCACAAGAAAGACATTTACAGGACTATATTTTAACTTTTATTCCCTTATTTTTAAAGAAAAACCTGTTTATCGAGCATACAAGTCAACTAGTAAATACGAGTTTTTTTTCACAAAGAGATAGAAAATATTAATGAATTCCATCAAATATCCTAAGGTTATTTTAGAATGTTTAAACAAAAGGTTCCTCCCAACAATGTCAAAATGAGAAATAACGATTATTTGTTTTTACCAGATATTGGAAAGCAGACGAT